ACACACACACACACACACACACACACACACACATGAGGATCAACACTGACATTGTGCACATGTGGAAAGTTTAGTTTGAGTATCAACTCTGTTTTTTCTTTCTGCTCCTTTTATTTTTATCTTTTTTATACGCACTTGACCGAACCTCCGTCATCGATCTGACCAGACAAAACCAATGGCCCTTTATTCTCTTTCAGTTTCAAGACAACCAGTGTAAGTGCCAGTGCTTAAACCGATGTCCTACTGGTCAGCGTCTGGGCTCAGATTGCAGCTGTATCAGCCGTGAGTGTTAATTTTGGAATTCTGTAACTGTACTATTTAAGGGTTTAGTTTTTTCTGGTGTTATTTAACTTCGTCGTTTTAAAATCCTTTTTAGTTGCTGCCCTTAATGTAATACAAAGTGGCTGCACATGCAAGTAGTCTTTTGTTCATTCAAATTATGAATTTTTTTATTTCTCGATCGATAACATCAACATATATAAGTCTTTGATTCCCTCTTGCACTTGATCTTACTGGTGTGACGGGATAGAATGTCTGCTGCTGTGAATATTTTTAAAAACTGGAATTATTCTTTTTTTTGGTGCCCTTCTACTGTTTTTCTCCTTTTTCTTTTTTCAAACATCTTATAGCATGACTGATAAAGCTCTAAGCTAATTGTGAGTATACATTTTATCACAGAATGCCCTAGCAGTTGTCCGTCTGGAATAAGCACACAACAGGCAGATTGCAGTTGTCAGTGCACAGACAGTCGGCTCACCTATTTCCCATCAACAAGAACTTGTAGTAAGTTTAATGATTCAATTCTTCTATGTTTGGTTTCTGAGAATAAAATGGGCCACGTTATTCAATGATACTAAAGGATGTAAATGAGTCTGGACATCTTCTCTTTGAAATGAAGTAGCAGCTGCTGCTTCTTGCTGAACTGTATTATCTGGAACTAATAATGCTGGCGAAAAGTGGGTTAGCTTTTTTATTCTTTTGTGTGATTATCAGTGAATAATCCATTAACAATTAAAATCAAAGTTAATGGTACCTTCAAAGCAAAAAACAGGTACGTACGTCGTATCCAATAAACGTTATGATTTATATATATTTA